CATAAGAGAGATGGGAAGATCGTGTTGGCATCGGCTTTTAAAATGCTTACTGGGACACCATCAGGGCCTGGACTATAAGATTGACGAAAACGCCGAATCGCAACAGTCACATCCCACAGAGTGAAAGTTATAGTTTCTAGAACTGCCCCAGTCAATGGCTGGATGGTCGGAAGCAGAGTGGTCGAGTCTTCAGTGAACGTTTTGGACAGGAAATCATTGAAGCTATCAGCGGTTAACTGGGCATCAGCTATGGGATATCCGAGAGCGTGTCGGAGGATGGGATGCTGCGTCTTTCTATGAGTTCGTATTTTTCTAGAGAAAAGTTTCGAGACACTTAACGAATGGTTTTCGGTAAAGTGGACCTCTTCGGCTAGCTGTTTTTCTTCAGACAATCTCTTAGCTCGATCAAAAATATCACAAATCAAGGGCAGAACAGAAACATCGTTCTGCAGATGGAAACGACAATAAAGCCCGCGCAATCTGTGACGAAAGGGTAAAGGCACAATTAACAGGCATTACTCCGTGAATAAGCGTGCACTTTTCGGTTAAAATTTGTTTTTTAATATCAAAAAGAACTTTTGGACCTCGGTAGTTGTGCTTTTTACATATCTGGGCAATCCTGATATAAAGCGCTTAATTGTTTAAGTGTGTCACTTTGCGGCACTTATCTCCCACGTGAGCTGCGTTCCTCTCGTCGTGAGTGCTAATACTAAATACTGTGGTCAACGTGCATACGTCACTGTGCACAGTAACGTATGCACGTTCATTACATACCACGTGATATGTAATGAACTGCCCTTTTGCTATATTAAATGATATTTTGTAAGTTTTGACCTGTAAATTAGTATTATCATTGAATAATTGCCTGTTGATTTAAGCAATATCAATGAGATATCCGATGTAGCAGAGTCATCTGAAAAGCTGCACTTTGAGCCTTTGTTTATCATTTTTGTCATTGAGATTAAGTAGAAATGAAGCGTAAGTATTTTGGAATCAACCGGAGCACTGCCTATAAGCGAATCCGGCGCCTGAAGAGGGCCTACTATGCCGCAACGGAGGCTGCAAAACAGGTTAATGTTCCAACGGCGTCTACTTTGCCAAGCGACTCTCCTGAATTAGAAATGTCTGAATTAACGGGTGAGGGTTACACTGGTAGGTTTTTCCATCGATGTAGAATATTAGTGGGTGTAGATTTTGCAGGAAGTCGAGAGCATGTGACTGAAGAAAGGGGAAAATCTTTCCTATCAGATTTACAAGAATTATGTCTGAACACGCGAATGCCTCTCTCAATGATGGAGGCTTTGTTCGATATGCTCCGGCCGTACCACCCAGAAGTCCGAAGAACCCGCGAACGCTCTTGAAGACTCCCAGAACTTGTAGCAACAAGGTCCTAAGCAACGGGAACTATGTCCATCTGGGCATTGAGCGAGCTCTGCTTGATGAGGTAAACCGTCGTCAAACGACCGAAATTCCTGAAATGCGCATCCAATTGCACATTGATGGGATGAAGTTGTTTAAAGGATCGGGTCAATGCCTTTGGCCAATACTAGCGCGAATTAGTCACCCTGTTATTGGTGAACCCTTCGTCGTTGGTGTATTTTCTGGCCTCGGCAAAACCGAACCAGTGGACGAGTTTCTTCATGATTGCGTTTGAGAATTGAAAGGACTTCTTGATGGTGGCCTGCGACACCCAGGTACAGGGGATATTGTAAAAGTGGAGCTAGCCAATATAATTTGCGATGCCCCTGCCCGCTCCTACATCCGCAAAGTCAAGGCACATAACGTATACTATGGATGCGATAGGTAGGTCTGTGCATCTAGCTAACCTAAACCACTCTAGGTGCTGTCATGTTGGAATTCCCATTGCTAACCGGATGACATTTCCGCCATATAGTGGGCGTCCTCGGGACGACATGTTATTCCGGTTGCGAAAGCAGGCCATGCACCATAGGGGCATATCACCATTCGAGGAGTTACCCATCGATATGGTTGCCTGCTTTCCCATGGACTACATGCACCTAGTATGCCTGGGAGTAATGCGTAAATTGCTGCACATGTGGCGCCTCGGGGTGAAGAAGTTTTCTGCGGCGCTCAATGCGCGGATTAAAAAGTGCAGCAATTGTCTGTGTACAAAGGAGGCTTACAAGGCATTCGTCAGTGAGCTTGAGAACAATGCTGGTTTCGCTCAAGACGCGGTATGTCCATATACTGACACTTCTATTAATTGAATGGATTATAGATTAAACGTCTGGCGATTACTGACGGGCGAAAAGAGAAAGATTTTGTCAGAAATCTACTAACCACTCTACTCGGCCACCCCCTATGCCTCAGTTTCTGCTGCGGCGGAGCAAGACATAAGCAGGCCTTCTTCGGCAGCCCCCTTTACGGCCTTGTTATTGGTAGGATATTAATTTTTCTGTTTACTTGATCAGCTGCAATTCGTGAAAACGCCACCTTCTCAAATTGCACCGTAGACACTATTCGCAAGAGCACAATTGATTGGTTCCACGGTGCGCGTGACAGATACGGTGGCCGATCAAAGCGTAGTGACAATACCACGGCAAATACCACGGTAAATTAATTGACTTGAGTCATTATAAGCTACTTTCAGCTTCCCGTCAGCTACAATACAGCCGAAGAATATATGATACACTCTCCTTCCGAGAACACTGTAAGTGTGCCTTTCTTTCTATAAAACCTGCATATATTCGAGCCTATCAACTTCAAACTACTTTACACAGTTAAATATACTACTAAAATGCCATACTTCAATAGTATGTTTTTGACAATTTATTAAAAGGACGTTCTGCTTTGTTTTATTTTAGATACCCGCTACCGACATGGACGGATTACCAAATATGTCCCTTGAGGAAGCATGACAGTTTGCACATATGAACATTTTATCTTTTTCGTTCAATAAATTTTCTTCAAGGTATAAATGGCG